CGCTTCGTCTGTCGTCTGTCGTGTGTCGTGTGTCGTTCTGTATGTCTGTCACGAAATTCCCTAGCTCCTCGGGATCCACCTGGAGGGACCGGGTCAAGTGTGGGATGGGTGGGCAGGGTCTCACGTAATACAAAACACACATCAGCTAAGCGGAGCCCCGCCCACAGAGGGCGTGGCGTGCGTCGAAATGAATTGTACCGAAGACCAAGATTTCGATTTCAGTGACAAAACGACCTCGAAACTGGGCCAAAAAGTGGGTAAAGGTGTGCATTGGTAAGTCACATCGAATTAGGGAGACCCACCCCCGGTGGGCGGGGCGTTCTCCAAAAAAGCAGTGCTTTATGAAAAATTTCATAACTCGGTTGGGAGAAAGCCTACAGAGCAGAAAACAATTTGGTGTAAGGGAGCAATGTCTAAGGTGTTTCCTGCATACATGACGTGTGGCGGAGGCCCGCCCAGAATGGGCGGGGCGCGCTCTGAAGTGTACAGCATTTTCTACAAGCCCTCATAATTCGGGTCGGGGAAGTCTTAAAGAGCCGGAAAAAGGTGGATAGAGGTGGGTGGAGGAGTGGAGGCCAGCTGTCATCGGTGGGCGGGGCTTGACCAAAGTGGGCGGAGTTTGCGACGAAAATTCATAACTCGGCTCCATGAAGCTCCGGAGGCTGGGGAAAAGGTGGATAGAGGTGGGTGGAGGAGTGGAGGTTAACTGTCATCGGTGGGCGGGGCTTGGCCAAAGTGGGCGGAGTCTGCGACGAAAATATAAAACTCGGCTCCAACAAGTCCCGGAGGCCGGGAGAAAGGGAGTAGAGGCCGGCAAAGGAAAGGAGGTCAACTGCTATTAGTGGGCGGAGCATGCACATAATTGGGCGGAGTTTGCCAAAAGTGTCGTAATTTGGTTCCAAGAGGTCCCAGAGACCGGTGAAAAAAGGGGTAGAGGTCGGCGAAAGGAAGGGGGCCAAATGCTATTGGTGGGCGGGGCACGCACCGAAGTAGGCGGAGTTTGCCACGAGATTTATTGTCCGGAAGCAGTCCGGAGACCGAGAAAAAGAGGATAATGGTTGACGAAGAAAAAAGGTTGAAAGCCGTCGATGATGGAGCGGATAGAATTTAGCTGAGGATTCAGATATTCGTAGTGTATCAAGCCAAATATTGAAAATTTTCGTCGCACCATCAAAATTCGCCGCAGATCTGTGTTGCGCGCGCAATGCGTGCGGCGCCAACTGGTTAAATATAAAGCATCTGGTGAGGTGAAGCCACAAACTGGTCTGGGTGATGTACCCCCGAGCATTCGTCAAATTGTTACATCGCAATGTTCGCCTGCGTTCCGAATGGAAGTAGAACGCGTGGCACAGTTCGAAAAGAGATTGATCACGTCAATGCTCAACCCTTTATCTTCACATTCAGTCTGATGGCGGAAGCAAGGCTAGCGTAGGTAGCGGAGTAGCCACCTAAATGGTTCCAATGGACGAACCCTGAGTTCAAAAGCAGGACTCGAGCTCGGTCTCACTGAAGAATCCCTCCTGTGGATAGAAGTGCTAAGTCCGCCACTGCAGTGGCCGCACCACTTTCGTGCCTCTACACCTGTTGCTGAGAAACTAGCAGCTTAGGTCTTCGATCATCCTCCACCCACAGGGATCCGTGCCCGCCAGCGTTTTAATGATTTGTTTGTTGATATGGTGATCTGCTTTTTGCTCTTCCGACTCTAAATTCTCCATCGCTCTCGCGACTCACAAAATCTAAATTGGAAGAATGGCGGACCTACCAATTGGTATCTGGAGCAGGGTCAAGCAAGCGTTGTGTAAATTCGCAAATTTGACGACCTACCTCTCATAAGGAATTCCGTATCACCCTCCCCCCAAACTCGCCTCCCCCAACTCTCCTCTTCCCCCTCCTCCATCAGTCAGCCTCAGGGGAGTCCCTCCAATGCGATCCCCTTCTTCATAAATAAATACTGCTGATAAACAGAAAATCTTCTGATTTCCACCAATTTATGCTTACTTTTTGTAATTTCCACCAAAAACCGCCAGAACGACCCCCCTTCCTCCCGTCATCCCAATCCATCCAACTTCAAAATAAACGCCCCTTCTCCGATTTTCTGACTCGATCTTCACCCACCCAAAATACGACTCCCTCCAAAAAAACAAATGAGACTCCTTGTCGGGATCTGCGCAACGCACGGTTGACCCTGATCTGGAGCCATACCCCTCCAGTGACTTGCAGGGTTGCTCGACCACTGCGCTACTTTCCATGTTGCTATCATTACTGCCCTCATTCCCTGAGCAATTCCTTGAATATTCTTAGCTTCTGTTGGCGCACATTATAAGAACAGCATGCCGGCAACATGTCGTTTCTTCCATATTAGTTCTTGCTTTTTACTAGAACATCTCCGTGTTGATTTTGTGGACATTTTTTGCCCTTTTCCAACATTAAATTCTGTCAACACGAAAACGATTGCCAAATAGTTCAAAGCGAATCATCATCTTGTATAACACCCTTTTATATAGACTTCTTCTCATGTAAACAAAGGAGGTTCGCATTTTCGAGGTTTTTGACGGTTTCTCGTTCCTTTTTTCTCCACTTGGGGTCCACCTCGCATCTCTACTTTCATACTTGAGTGGAATTATTATTATCAATTTTGCTCGATTTGAAGTACTAGTGGGGATTGAACCACTAATTACCACATCGAGGACAGCCCGTTGTCTATGTTTGGGCTCAGCACTTTCTTATTTTTCACCGCCGTCGTTACTCCTCTACTGGTAATCAGCCCACTGTTCTCCGGTCAGATGATAAACACAGACAGTTTTTGGAATATAAAATATGCCAAATAGATGGAACAAAACGGCCCTGATCCGTGTGAAAGTCTGACGCGCATGCGCGTCATGCTGGTGTCTATGTATTTGAAGGAAAAAGGACCACTAATTAACACATTGACAATAGCCCTCCACAGGGCAGAACAAGGAATCCTGGAAAAAACCAAAAATGTAGGATTCCTTGCTCACGCTAAAGAAGTTTTTGGGGCTCCAGCTCATTTTCAACGTGGGCCTTTAGTGGTGGTACCTCTTGCGACGAGTATGACAAATGCGATGGAAGCCAATCCGGTGCTAACTTAGTTGGGGGGGGGGGCACGCGGCGGCGCGGCAGTCTGCTCACCTGGGCTCTCTCGAGCGAGACAGTGTAAACTCGAACATTCCAGCTTTTCACGCATGTCAAGTGACTGCCCCCACCCCCACCCCCCTAGACTGCCTACACTCCCCCTGGCCCACGGATTTCCGAACATGCCAGGCGAGCAGACTGCCGCGCCGCCGCGTGGCCCCCCCAACTAAGTTAAGCCTGCTATTCTCTCC